TTACTGCGGTGGCTTCTGTTGTTACGGAGCACGGGCTCTACGCACGCGGGCTTCAGTAGTTGTGGCACGCAGGCTCAGTAGTTGTGGCTCGCAGGCCCTAGAGCGCAGGTTCAGTAGTTGTGGCGCACAGGCTTAGTTGCTCCGTGGCATGTGGGATCTTCCCGGACCAGGGCTCGAACCCCTGTCCACTGCATTGACAGGTGGATTCTTAACCACTGTGCCACCAGGGAAGTCCCACCACTTATTGTTTTAATTATATGATTATGTTAGGTACAGGCATACCCTGTTTTATTGCAATTTGCCTCATTATGCTTCAAAGATATTGCGTTTTTTACAAATTGAAGATTAATGATAACCCTGCATTGAGCTGTCTAATGGTGCCATTTTTCCAATAGCTTTTGCTCACTTCATGCCTCTGTGTCGCATTTCGGTAATTCTTGAAATATTTCAAAATTTTATTATATTATTTGTTATTATGATCTGTGACTGGTGACCTTTGATGTTACTGTGGCAAAAGATTACAACTCGATGAAGGCTCAGATGATAGTAGCATCTTTTAGCAATGAAGTATTTTTAAATTAAGGTTGTACTTGTGATTTTTAGACATAATGCTATTGCACACAAGACTACAGTATAGTGTAAACGTAACTTTTATAGGCACTGGGAAACCAAAAATTTTGTGAGACTCACTTTATTTCAATATTCACTTTATTTTGGTGGTCTGGAACTGAACCCACAATATCTCTGAAGTATGCCTGTACTATACTGCACACATTATGTAAATTTTCTTATTTAAGTAGATAAGAATAATTATTTAAGTACCTTTCATACTTGGCAGTTTTTTGTATTATTTTATTATTAACTGCTTTATTTGAAGGAATAAAACAGGTTTTTGGTTTTTTTGGTATGCGGGCCTCTCACTGTTGCGGCCTCTCCTGTTGCGGAGCACAGGCTCCGGACGCGCAGGCTCAGCGGCCATGGCTCACGGGCCCAGCCGCTCCGTGGCATGTGGGATCCTCCCGGACCGGGGCACGAACCCACGTCCCCTGCATCGGCAGGTGGAATCTCAACCACTGCGCCACCAGGGAAGCCCAGGAATACAGTTTTTGAAGGCAGTCCCTTAATTTAGGACCTGACACTCAATAAAGAGTGACTTAAAAATATGTGGAAGCATATATATGGTAAAACAATACCTTTACTTCTTGGAATATTTATCAGGCATAATGTTAAGAATGAATCAGAAAACAATATGCCAGAAGGCTTTTTTTTAACATAATTTGATCAGTTTATCACTATAAAAGAATCTGTTGTATCAAAAGAGTTATCAGACTGATTAACATGGGGAACGCTGATATGTAAACAAGCTTTACAATGTAAAGATCCTGCTATATAGTGTACAGTTGTGAACATATCAGAACCAGCAATAAAATAGAGATATTCAAAGGAGATCCTTTTGATTTCAGGGAGAATTCCCTCTTATTTATGATTATATCAGTTAAAGGAGGATTCCAATATTTAATGACAAATTAGGAGAGAACACACAAGGAAATTCACAGTCAAATTATAAGAATGAAATAAAGTTAAATGTCAATGCACAGTATTTTATGCTATTACTTACAAATCGTAGATACAATTTTTGTTTCAGTTTATTTTCTAGAGACTAAAATAAACTAATACAAAAATCAAACTAATAAAAAATGTTTAATGCTTTAAACATTTTTTAAAGTGTAAAATATTAACTTATAAAATCTCCTGATATGAAAATCAAACATTGGGCTTCCCTGGTGGCGCAGTGGTTGTGAGTCCGCCTGCCGATGCAGGGGACACGGGTTCGTGCCCCGGTCTGGGAGGATCCCACATGCCGTGGAGCGGCTGGGCCCGTGAGCCATGGCCGCTGAGCCTGTGCGTCTGGAGCCTGTGCTCCGCAATGGGAGAGGCCACGACAGTGAGAGGCCCGCATACCACAAAAAAAAAAAAAAAATCAAACATTCTTCCACAGTAAAGAAATTATTCATATTTTAAATGCATGCAGAGCAATGAATATTTGCTTTTTAAGTGTAGAATACCTTTTAAGACTCTTGAGAAGCATGCTGTTGCACATATTTTATTTTACCAAGTTAGTCCAGAGCATTCATCTTATATCTTTCCATTGAATTCTTCTTTGAGAAACTTTTCTGATGGGCACTGAAGTTTTCCTTTCATCTTATAAAAAAGCACATGTAGATTTTAAAATTAAATGTTAATATTATCATTAGTTCCATAATAATCAGGGATCAAAAGTAACCTCTCTCTCCTCTTCCTTCTTTCTCTTGATACAATTAAGAGCATCTTGAGAGTATCTTATTAAATACTCTCCTATTAGATACTCACAATATGACTTTAATTGTATTTATAATCAAGAACAATTCTGTTTCTCGTGAAGTTCTCACTAGGTACTTTAGGAATTCTGAATCCAAAGAGTAGTCATCCTTATCATTAATTGCATTCATAGACTGTGCCTAAAATTCCTCATTTTATCATAGTGGAAGGTGAAGGGGGGCAAAAAGCCTTTCAACAACAGCACAGACAGGAGAAGCTGACCCATAAATCAGCATTAGTTCCTCCACCTGAAGCAGGAGGTGACCCTCACTCAGCCATAATTACTATGAACAGCCACTATAAGACTCAAGGGGAGAAGGCTCAGTGAGGAATTTAGGAGTTATGGTGTGGATAGTACAAGTTCTTCTGTCTAATGATAGAGTCTCAAAGGAGGTCTAATCAACTCCTATCTCTGCAGTGCCTTATGAAACATCCTTTCTACAGCCTGAAATATTTTTCCCAAAATAAAGCTATTTCTTTAAAAAGCAGACACCTTATGCCCCAGCCCCCCAAACAATGAACTTTGCACTGACATTTTTCCCAAGTGGTACGACGGCTTCATGTGTATCACACAATCCCTTGGAAATTTTGTTTTTTTTAATTTTAATTATTGGTGCATCTGGAACAAAGTTAGCAACTACATGGTAAATCAATTTCAGATTATTCATAAGAAATTCTGGGAGACAGACATCACATATACAGATAAATAAGCATCAAAATAAATAACATGAAAACAAAGTGGATGTCAATATTTTTTTCACTGCAATGGCTCTGATTAAAAATGCAGGGAGGAAATTTCTAGTACAATCAAGAAATTTTTACAGTCTCTTCACTAAAATAATTCAAGATTTTTGGTTAGTGCTTAGAAATGAAAAGTTTCTCAAAAACCCTTATCATCAAAAGTACAGGACAAGCCAAAAAACATGATATTTAAAAAATCCTTAGAGGATTTCTAGGGGCCCACTCCAAAGCCACTGAGCTTAATATAATAACTTGAATAGTTGAAAGATTTTATATGTATTGTACAGTGTCTTAGTTCACTAGGATTGCTATGACCACATACCATAAACGGGGTGTCTTTTAAACAACAAACGTTTCTCACAGTTCTGGCAGCTGGGAAGTTCAGGATGAAAGCACTGATGGATTCAGTATCTGGTGAGGGCCCCCTTCCCAGATCGTAGATGGCTGTCTTCATGCTGTAACCTCACATGGTAAAAGGGCGGGGGAACCCTCTCTGGCTTTTTTATAAGGGCACTAATCCCATTCGTGGGGCTCTACCCTCATGACCTCATCACCTCCCGAAGTCCCCACCTCCTAATACCATAACCTGGAGGTGGTGGTGGTGGGGCGTTTAGGATTTCAACATAAGAATATGTGGGGGACAAGCATTGAGTCCATTGTAACAAGGTTGTAGATTGGGTCAAATATGGAATTTTAAATTTACCCTGAATGAGATACAGGGGAATCTGACGGTATTGAAATTGGAATTGACATAAACCATAAAAGAAGCAGACTTAGAAAGGAAGTTTGTTCCTAACAATATGAGGTTTTTAGGAGCCCAGAGTTGTCTCTCCTTCCAACCCCATGGGAATTGTGTGATGTCACTTTCCACCAGTCTATGAGCCATCACTGTCACTGCCATCACCACTGCCACCACTGTTGCAACTCCCTTTTGGGGAAATGGCTGCAGACCTCAAAGAAGGGAGCAGTGCACACGCCCAGGGCATGAGGAAGTGTGCAGAGCATATTAGCACAGTGCATTTAAGGAAATGGGAGGGTTTATCATTCATTCATTCAACAAGGATTTATGAAGATCTTCTGTGTGGGACACTCCATGCTGGATGCTGGGTATAGTGGTGAACCAGTCAGACACGGGCTTTGACTCTGTACTTATGCTCTACATATCACACAATAGATATGTACAACTCCAAATATGGAAAGCGGTATGACAAAAAGATAAAGTTACTCTATGTATTAGGGGGATTGATCTAATCAGGGAAGTGAGGGAAAGGATCTTGGAGGGAAAGATAGTTCAGCTGAGAGCTAAAGAATGAGCAGGATCTAAGTAGGTGAGAAAGGAAAGTAGTACCTTCCAAAGAGATAAAGCATTGTGTGCAGAACCTGTGGCAAGTCTTGATCAAAGGGAGCCTGGGTAGCTAGAGCGAGGAATGAGAGCAAGTGTGGTTTGGGATGCAGCTACGGTGGTAAATCCATGGACTATGTTAAAGAGATTTGTTTTTTATCCTACAATCAGTACAAATCCATAAGAGCACTTTAATGGGGAAGTGGCACAATCAAATGTTTTTATTCAGAAATTATTACACTGGATACTGAATAGAGATTTCTTAGAAGCTTTGATAAATATGAACTACTAAACACTGATATATACAATTTGAAATATATATATATAATTTGAAATGACTAGGCAATTCATTTTCTGAAACTGCCAACTAAATTCAACTGCTTGGGCCTAGAAGAATCAGATTTTACTTCTTAATACATGTACCAGCATGCCCCAAACTCTTAGTGACTAAATATGACACCTGTAAGATTTCTTTCATGATATTTAAGAATCAAAGATTACAGAAAGTGTATGTATACATACCATTATCAAAAGTTACATTCATGTTTTAAACTTTCAGAATTGAAGTTCTGAAGAAACCAAACACAAAATCTATATGAGCGGACTTCCCTGGTGGTGCAGTGATTAAGAATCCGCCTGCAGATGCAGGGGACACAGGTTCGAGCCCTAGTCCGGGAAGATCCCACATGCCGCGGAGCAACTAAGCCCGCGCCCCACAACTACTGAGCCTGTGCTTTAGAGCCCGTGCGCCACAACTACTGAGCCTGCGCTCTAGAGCCTGTGCACCACAACTACTGAGCCTGTGCTCTGCAATAAGAGAAGCCACCGCAATGAGAAGCCCGCACACCGCAACGAAGAGTAGCTCCTGCTCACCACAACTAGAGAAAACCCGCATGCCACAACGAAGACCCAACACAGCCAAAAATAAGTAAATCAATAAATAAATTTATTTTAAAAAATCTATATGAGCAAAATTAATATTTTATGGAGAAATTCAAGAAAGACCTTATTAGATTGATTACCTTCTGTCCCACGAATGTTTGTAACTCCCTGAGGACACGGAATCAAGCTAATACTGACAGTCCCCTAAGTGACCGCCACTGTATTCTTCAGGCTGTAGGAGGTTAGTGAATATTTTCTGACCTAGTGAGTTTCCTAAGTACTAATATAGTCTACCTTAGAGGAGCATTTTGATTTAGTAGTTAGGGTAACAGCTATGCACTAGGTGTTTTATGTTTTAGAGAATGGAAATGTCTAAACTATGATGTTCCAACTTTAGTAAGATAAAAAGAATTTCCTGTCTAGTAAAAAACATGTTTCCCAATAAAATAATTGACCCTCACTGAAATTACTATTCAAAGAACTAGGAAGCAGAGAATCAGTCATAAGTCTGGAATGGTTGAAAAGAGGCTGCTGAAAGCACAGCTGATTTATAGTGCTTGGACTCGAGGTGGAAGTTTATGGACAAGACACTTTCTGTCATGTATTTTCCCAATGACAGGGCATTTACAGAGTAGTCAAGTGTTACTGAGCTGAAGAATCTGACTGACCTACATCCCAGGGAATTTCCATGTGGGGCACTGGATAGCCTGGCTATGAGACCTTTAGAAGCTCTCCTCCCACTCTCTTGGAAGCAAAAGCAAATTCCAAGACAGTTAGTGCTTTCCCTTTGGTTTAGGAATATCTGGGTTGGCAGGTAGGATCCCAGACATGTGCTAGCCTGGAGGACTTGCACCGGGACAGCATGGCTCCAGGAAGGCCCAGGGAGAGAGTGCAGACTCATCTGGGGCCATCCCACTTTTAAACTACACCCAGAGAACTTCTAGAGTCAAGAATCCTTCAGGATATTCTAAAGTCCTACAGATAAGTGTTGAAGCAATTACGTACTGTTCATTTTACAGGTATGCATTCCAGTGTTTCCAATACAGAGCTCCCTTTAGAGCTACTGATTTGCCCAAGTCAAATGTTTATCTCTTTGAACTTCAATCCTAGAAGCAGACTATTTAAATCTCTAATGCAAAGGCTTTCAGAGAATGGAGCTATTGTACCTTTTATAGTAACTTCTGGGGCTTTGTGATTACACACTTTTTTTTTTTTGGAGGGGAGTCAGGGGAGGAAAGAAATAGATGAGAGAGATTAAGAAGTACAGACTTCCAGTTGCAAAATAAATGAGTCAGGGCATGAAATATACCCTGTGGGGAATATAGTCAATAACTATGTAATGTCTTTGTATGGTGACATATTATAACTAGAGTTATTGTGGAGATCATTTTGAAATGTGTAGAAACAGTGAATCACTATGTTGTGTAACAAGAACTAACATAACTAACATGCTGTAGGTCAATTATACTTCTTTTTTATTTTTAATTTTTTAATTAATTTTTATTGGAGTATATGTGCTTTACAATGTTTTGTTAGTTTCTTGCTGTACAACAAAATGAATCAGTCATATGTATGCATATATCTACTCTTTTTTCGATTTCCTTCCCATTTAGATCACTATAGAGCACTGAGTAGAGTTCCCTGTGGTATACAGTAAGTTCTCATTAGCTATATATTCTATACATAGTTGTGTATATATATATATATATGTCAATCCCAATATCCCAGTTCATCCCACCCCCCCTTCCCCCCTTGGTAACTGTAAGTTTGTTCTCTACATCTGTGACTCTATTTGTTTTGCAAATAAGTTCGTCTCTACCATTTTCCAGATTCCACATATAAGCGATATTATATACTTGTTTTTCTCTTTCTGACTTACTTCACTCTGTATGACAGTCTCTGCGTCCATCCACATCTCTGCAAAAGGTACTATTTAGTTCTTTTTATGACTGAGTAATACTCCATTGTATATAGGTACCACATCTTCTTTAGCCATTCCTCTGTCGATGGACATTTATGTTGCTTCCATGTCCTGGCTATTGTAAATAGTGGTGTAATGAATATTGGGGTGCATGTATCTTTTTTTTTTTTTTTTTTTTTGCATGTATCTTTTTGAATTATGGTTTTCTCTGGGTATATGCCCAGTAGTAGCATTGCTGGGTTATATAGTAGCTCTATTTTTAGTTTTTTAAGGAAACTCCATTCTGTTCTCCATAGTGGCTTTATCAATTTACATTCCCACCAACAGTGTAGGAGGGTTCCCTTTCTCCACACCCTCTCCAGCATTTATTGTTTGTAGATTTTTTGATGATGGCCATTCTGACTGGTGGGAGAATTCTGACTCATTGTAGTTTTGATTTGCATTTCTCTAGTAATTAGTGATGTTGAGCATCCTTTCATGTGTTTGTTGGCAATCTGTATATCTTCTTTGAAGAAATGTCTATTTAGGTCTTCTGCCCATTTCTTGATTCAGTTGTTTGTTTTTTTGATATTGAGCTGCATGAGCTGCTTGTATATTTTGGAGATTAATCCCTTGTCAGTTGCTTCATTTGCAAATATTTTCTCCCATTCTGAGGGTTGTCTTTTTGTTTTGTTTATGGTTTACTTTGCTGTGCAAAAGCTTTTAAATTTAATTAGGTCTCATTTGTTTATTTTTGTTTTTATTTTCATTACTCTAGACACATTCTTAAAGAAACAAAAACTATTGTATCATAACAATTTTAAAACATACAGAAAAACAGAAAAAATATGCAAAAAAGACATATGCTTATCATCCAGATTCAACACCTGTTAACATTTTGTCTTTTCTGTTAATCTAGATCTATACTCTATATCCAGATCTATGCTTGTATCATTACTTATGTTTATCTTTTTGGCTATATCATTTAAAATAATTTACAGATATCATGATTCTTTCCCCTAAATTCTTTAGTATGAGAAGAAATGCTCTCCTAGTATGATCATATACCTAACAAAATCAACAATTCCCTAATAACATCAAATACCTGTTCTATATTCCAATTTTCCCAAATGTCTGTCCACCAGGATTCAATCAAAAAGTACTCAATATGTTTGTTTGTCTCTTAAGTCTTTCTAAATCAAGTAGTTTCTCCCTCTTTTTTCTCCCCAAGCTATTAACTTTTTTAAGACATCAGACCCAATGTCCTATAGAATGTCTTACATTCTGTGTTTGACTGTGTTTTCATCTATGATTTATGTTTCTCTATCACCTGTATTTTCTATAAGCTGAAATTTAAAACTAACATCATGATTAGATACAAGTTAAATACTTTTGTGAAAAATAGTTCATGGAGGGCTTCCCTGGTGGCGCAGTGGTTGAGAGTCTGCCTGCCGATGCAGGGGACACGAGTTCGTGCCCTGGTCTGGGAAGATCCCACATGCCGCGGAGCGGCTGGGCCCGTGAACCATGGCCACTGAGCCTGCGCATCCGGAGCCTGTGCTCCGCAACGGGAGAGGCCACAACAGTCAGAGGCCCGCGTACCGCAAAAAAAAAAAAGTTCATGGAGAAAATTGGTTTTCTTGTTGCATTTAATTTACAGAATGTCTGAGTTGTTCATGATTAAGTGGTGCCACTGAATTAATGTCATTAGTCAGATCTTTCCACCATAAATGTATGCTTTCTCCTTTGCAATTAACAAGTAATCTGTGGAGAGATACTTAGCATTATGTGAATATTTTTTTTCCAACATTTCCCTGAAAAGTGTTAGCATCCATTGAAGTCTCTTCCCTTAGGTTTTTCATTAAGATTAGCAAATGGTGATTTTCCAATTCTACATTTTTTTACATTATTATTCTATAAATAAGTAAAAGCTTTTTTTTTATCAACTAGGGTCACTTTTTTAAAATCCTTGAATCTACAGTTCTTATTGAAAAAACAGGATATTCTATTTTGTTCTCATCTTTTAATTACCAATCTTCAAAGTAAGGAATTGGTATATTATTCATCTCCAGTGGTGATAAATGAGTTTGTTTGATTTATAGTGTCTTTTCTTAGTATTACTATTAACTCAATGATATGTATTTATATAATAGATTCCAATGAATTATAGTTATTGTTATTATTATTGATGTTTGAACTCTCCTAGTTTGGATCAGGAAGGGTCACTTCAGGCTGGCAACTGCATCCTTTTAACACAACCCATTTGTCCTTGAATAGTTCTTTCTCAGAATATGTAAAACACTCATGGTGTTAAAGGCTCAGGCTGTCACCGCACCCTGCCACCTCCCTCCCACTCCCTCCTTTACAACCAGCCATTTCCTAAGGGTCTCTGCTTCCTTCAGTGTGAATAATAATTAGAAAATGAAATCTGGGTGTGAGGAGTGCTGATTTCCACAAGGAACATTATTTTTTCTGGATGTTTTTCAGTGGAGAGAGCTAGAAAATTTATCTTGTAAAATTATATTTTTATTTGGTATTTTCAACTTTTAACATTACATGGTTTTATTTGACTTTAAAAATTTTTTTTTTTTTTTTTTTTTTGCGGTATGCGGGCCTCTCACTGTTGTGGCCTCTCCCATTGCAGAGCACAGGCTCCGGACGCGCAGGCTCAGCGGCCATGGCTCACGGGCCCAGCTGCTCTGCGGCATGTGGGATCTTCCTGGACCGGGGCACGAACCCATGTCCCCTGCATTGGCAGGCGGACTCTCAACCACTGCGCCACCAGGGAAGCCCCTAAAAAATTT